TAAGTGAAATGAATGACAACAATGATACAAGGGACAGGAGGCAGGAAGTGGGATTATTTTCTTACTATAAGGTACTCACTACTCATGAAGTGGTATAATGTTATTTGAAAGTGGACTTGGATTACTTGTAAATGTATATTGTGAACTCTAGGGCAACCACTAAAAAAAGTTTTTAAAAAATAGTATAATTCATATGCTAAGAAAAGAGAGAAAATGGAATTGTATATAGTGCTCAATTAAATCCACAAAAGGCAGAAAAAGAGTGGAAGACAAAAACAGGAACAAAGAATAAGGTCAACAAATAGAAAACAATAATGAATATGGTAGATATTAATCCACATATATCAATAATCACCTTGAATGTCAATGGTCTAAATGCACCAGTTAAAAGACAGAGATTGTCAGAGTGGATCAAAAAACAAGACCCAACTATACGTTGTCTACAAGAAAATGTCAGGCCTAGATGGCTTCATTTGGAATGAAGAAACACATAAGGAAGAAATTTTACACAAACTATTCCAGATAATTGAAGAAGAGGCTCTCCAACTCATTCTGTAAAGCCCGAATTAACCTGACGCCAAAATCTGACAAAGATATTACAAGAAAGAAAAACTATAGCTCACTATCCCTTCATGAACATAGATGCAAAAAGATCCAAACAACACATTAGCAAATTGAATCCAACAATATAGTAATACAAAAATAATACGTTAATCAAATACATCATGACCAAGTGGTGTTTATCCCAGGAATGCAAGATTGCTTCAATGATAAAGGTTTAATATGAAACAAAAAGTCTGTAAAAAGATAATAAAAGGCTTCCAGAAATTTGGGAAAAGAAAAAGTAACTATATTCATAGACAAAATGATCTTCTACATAGAAAATCCAGTAGAATCTACAAAAAAAGTCACTAGAACTAATAAAGAGTTCAGCAAGGTTGCTGGATATAAGCTCATATATATATATGTATAGTATATACAAAAATATAATATCAATTCACAACCAGAAATTGTTAAAGAAATTTAACAAACAGAAATTTGTTAAATTGTTAGTTTAACAAACTGACATTTACCATAGCATTAAACACTGTGAAATACTTAGATGTGCAAGACGTCTCCACTGAAAACTGCAAAACATTGTAGCAGTTTTATTCACAATATCCCAAAACTAGGAACAGCGAAAATGTCCATCAACAGGGAAATAGATGAATAAATTGTGGCATACTCATGCAATTGAATATTACAAAACAATAAAGGAGACAAACTACTGATACATGCAACAACATTGATGAATTTCACAGACATTATTGAATGAAAGAAGCCATACACAAAAAAAGAGTACATACTAAATAATTTCATTTATGGAGAGTTCTAGAAGCAAAACTAACCTGTGATGAGAGTGGTTATCTCTGGCGTGTGTGTATGTGTGTGTGTGTGTGTGTGTGTGTGTGTGTGTAAGAATGTGTAAGAATGGGGTGGTATTGACAGGCAATAGGCAAGAAGGAATCTTCTAGAGTGATGGAAATGTTCTGCATGTTGATACGGTTGGTGGCAATATGAGTGTATACATTAGTTAAACTTTATCCAACTGTGCTCTTAAGAGATTGCATTTCACCATATGTAATTTATACCTCAATAAAAACGTTAAAATAAAAAAGAGAGAGGGGAAATCAACCCTTCCTTACCCACTCATGAAGTCTCCAAAGATGTAGAGGCCATTGAGATTTGGGGATTCACACCCCCGGTAGACATAACCTCCAGTGACTGACTTCCCCACTGTGTGGCCATAAGCATAGATTGGCAGAATGTCATCTGTCCAGGAACAAGAAAAAGAGTGAGTGTCTTGGCTAAAAATTGGGAGCTTTGAGGAGGAAGAAGAGGGCTTTTTAATGTAGTTGCCTGATGGAGTGGAGAACATTTTATCTCTTGGTCTTTGGTATGACAGGCAGCCAAGTGAATTATAAATAAAAAATCGTTTATTTTTCTCAATGGACCAGCCATGATATTTGTGAGCTTTCCATTTGACTGGCCTCTGCCAGCAGAGAGGAAGCCGAAATTCCCCCATCTGTGAGTCAGTGATCTGGAAATCCACCTAAATTTTTCCCTTTAGCTTGATATGGCAGATACTGAGGTTTAAGTATTTGGAATATTGCGAGGGTCTGTAAGACTGCTTTGTAATTTAGAGGACAAAAAAAGGCTAAGCAATGGCGATAAAGTCAGAAAATTGGAATTTTAAGCCAAGTGGAGTTTCTAAAGCATGCCTTGATTATTGATGTTTAGGGATTGTACTATTATTTGACTATATATAGAATATCATTTCAGTGGGCTATCCCAATTGGGAAATAAATAAAAACATACAGCCACCAATTTTCCTCTGCCAGCTGGTTCTTAGAATAGTATACCTAAAAATCACATGGGTAATTTATTTAAAATATAGATTCTTAG